AAGTTTCTTCCCTAAAAAAAAAAAAAAAAAAAAAAAGATAAAGAGAACTTTCATGGGTTTTGTATGGCTCTCTGGTCCCATTTTTTGCATGGTCGTTGTATTTCTATGTTAGATAACGAAAGTTCTGTTCTCTAAAAGGAAAAAACAAATAAAAAAGTATCAATCAGATTTTTATCACTGTATCAGGAAAACTAGTGAAGCATCATCTCAAGAGCTCAAGAAATTGAACTCTGAGATATGCAGGCCAACAAAAGTAAGTTGAATGAAGAAAAGTACACATTAACAGTTAACTAAGTAGAAATAATTGATAAATATACATATTTAAAAAAAAGATAAAGAAGAAATAAAAACCTCGCTTTCATTGTGCTCAAAATAAGCATCTACAAGGGTGCGGTAATTGTCTTCTTCGATGAGTTTCCAGTTTCCATCATACATTTTTAGGAGATCCTTCAAGATTGGTTTTATTTGACCATCAGGAATTCCCAAGGATCTCGTTGCATTAAAAGCCTTGGAAATTTTCTGTTTCGAAGGCATTGGCACACCCAATAAAAGTTGTTCCCTGTTCATAAATTTTGCGCAAACATGATAATGTTGCACCACATATTACTAATTTTATATATATGAGGAAGCGAGTTTCATAATGTATGAAATAGATATTAACAACAAGATGAAAGGAATCGAAAAAAGAAAAACATGCACCAAGTGGCACATTCATCTAAATGAATATATAGACCTTGCATGTGGATTTTAGAGAAAAGTACTCATGAACCAAAAACATTGTAGCTACCTAGAAAAAATCTCATCAAAATAGCTTTTACAGAAATAGTAGGAAGAAAAGATGAACAGATGTATATATATAACAAATGTAAATAGAACTCAAAAGAAAAAGCTTTTATAATCCACAACTATCAAAATTTCGAACTTAATCTCGATGATAACTGCAGAACTCAAAACAAAAAACGGATTCCCGATCAATTTGTTCATATTCTCTTCTACTTCATCATCATCATCGCAACACTACAATGACTTCGTTAATCTTGTTCCCTAGACTCCACCAAAATCGATTCTAAACGAAAAGAACATTCCAGAACAAGCAAAAACCGCATTACCATTCGCATTCAAACCAAAAAGAATATGAAATCACAGAACATCAATACGGTCTCTAGACTTACAAAACAAACATTCTCAGCCTTCAAAGAAAAAAAGAAAAAACAAAAAAGGTTACCTCCAGAAGCGTCGCCACTCTTTCCAAAGCTTCAATGACGTAGCAAGCAAGTTTTCAGCAGTGAATGAAGTAGTCGAAAATGAGGCTGTAGAGACACGAAGGAATTGATCGATCGACAGAGAAGAGAAAATTCTTGAAATTGATTTAGTTGAGAGACGGGGCAGTGAGAAGGTGAAGAAGAATGACGTAGAGGGTTCCAGGCACTGGGAATGCAAAGTCTGAACGGTTGATTTTCCACACAGAATCATGTGGGGTCGAGGTCGTTACACCGTTTCATCCCCTACAAGCTCACACACGGAACTCCCATGAATCTTCTACGTGTTCAAATACTATTGGTTTTCATTCGTCTCTAATAACATCCATAAACAGCTGTATTTATTTAAAATCGATTATTATTATTATTATTATTATTATTTAAGGAAGATATACTCATAAATAGAAAAATAACACTATAATTAATTAATTAATTAATTAATTCTTTATTCTTTATTTTTTATTTCATTTTCTAAACAATTAAATAAAAAAAATTAACTCATATTCATTAATCAACGATTAAAAAAAATATGTAAATCACAATTAATTGTGTTATAATTCTTTTTATATATTTTTTTTCCATAATTTAAAATTATTGTTGAGAAAAAAAAATCAATAAAAGTAAATATCTAATTAATTAATACTTAATTTTTTTTCTCTTTTTGATTAATACAATCAATAAAGTAACAGATTCCTTCCTAAAATAGATTAATTTTGTAACCATTTTTGAAATAAACCTAAATTATTCTCAAATTTATTTGGATTTTTCCTTCCTTGTGGATTTTGAAACTACAACAATAAGATCGCAATTAGAGAGAGATTTGGGTGATGATTGAATCATAAATAAATAGTTTATTAGAGAATTAATGTTATAAATTAATCCGCAAAAATCAATGGTAATTAAATGTAATATGTATTATAGTGGTAAAATGAATTTTTCACTAAACTGTAATTATGAACCACTCGTAAAAGATTGACTTGCACATAATGATTATATCAATAGACACAAGTTGTTCTATAGTGTATAAAAGCACACTCTAGGTCTATAATGGAGTGACTTATAGTTTTGTGAAGTAGCTCGATTCACGAGTTTAAAAACACAATTTTTTTTTACCCTTAATCCTGATCATTAATATAATTCGTTCCAAAACTTTATTGAGTTGCTTTCAAATTGTTTTGGGATTTTTTCTTTTTTTATAATTGAAATCTAAAAGTTCGGTTATTCAACGGAGGGATTCATAAACATTTGGTACAAGAATTTTAGGATCTCTTTTTCTTGTCTCTTTGGATTATTTGCAACATGTCACAAAAAGGAGACCAACCAAATTTATGTTACATCAAGAACAAAGTCGTTGTGAGATTTCTTTTTGATGGGAGCGCTTAAACTAAGTGTACCTATTTTTTTCTATTGAATTCTTGCAAGAAATTAAATGATTTTTGAAAAGTAAGATTCAACGATTGATTCCAACTCGAGTACATAGCAAATTCATGGAAAAAACGAGACCCATGGGATACACAAGAAGCGGCACTCCCATTTCACTTTTACATCCATACATGACCTAAAGATAAAAGTGAAGACCTCAAGAAGTTTAAGACCATGAAATGCAAACGATTTTAAGTTTCCATTACTAGAGGATCAACGGATTCGAGGAATAATCCTCTAGAAGAATGGAAAAATGATACGAAATAAGGTGTCTTAATCATGCCCTAAAGCATTCACGGTGAATGGCAAGATTGTATTATAGATGTTTGGATTTAGAAAAGTTTCATTGTATTTTTCAACTTCAGAGTATTATTTTTAAGGTTTTAAGTTACAATTAATTAGTGGGGATTATGGTATTGATGGGCACGCGAGTTAAACATTCAATTGGCCATAGTTTACTTTATTTTCAAAGTATTAATAGTCACTTATGTTTTTGTTTTCAAGCTATGAGCATGTTCCTTCGAATTTTTAGTGTTTAGATTTGCATGTTAAAGTTATTCAAGTAATCTTATCAAATTAGGAAACAAATTTTTTTTACCTTTGATCTTGATCGTCAAAGTAATAATTTCTAAAACTTTTCTTGAGTTGATTCCATATCGTTAATAAAGTGAGTTGATCTTAATTCTATTAATCGAGGATATTAATATTTCACAAATTATCATATGTCACTTAATCTTAATTCTATTAATCCTACCTAGTGAGAGTTTTTTTTAGAGATGATTTAATATACATACCTTAAATAAAAGAATAAATAAATAATTAATTAATTAAAATGAAAGACTACGTTCTTAATTCATCGTTCTCTCCACTAACCTCTCATTCATTTCCTCAATTATCTCTCCTCAACCAATTTCCTTACCACATAATATCACATCTCCTCGACCAATTGGGTTACCACATAATATCACAATTACTGCAAAAAAGTGTGGCCCCTCTTAGTCTTCTTTCTTCTTTTATATTGAGCATGATTACCCTCTAGAGCTGAAAAGGAATAAGTTGTCGACCTAGGATGTTACTCATTGGTAGTCAATGACCCTCTTGGACGGGTGATGTGTATTTAAAATTTTCATGTCATCCCCCATTTATTTTCAGATTTGGTACTCCCTCATGATTCAGCATAAATGTCTAAAATTTTACCACACAACTCAATTAAATGTACAATTACAATCAATTTATGCTAAATCATATTTTTTTTTCATGTTGGACCGCAATAAACGATTCCATGCCCACTAAGTACAATAAATAGGGTAATAAATGAGAAAATGGTGAATAAGAGTGCAATATTAAATACAAAAAGACTTGATATGGCTCTACTTTTAGAGAGTTATCAATAGGATTATGATTGATTGATAGAACGATAGCGTTAGGATACGTTTCTATAACGATATGACTAAGGTACGTTCATGTAACGATATGACTGTGATATGTATAAGAACGTTAAGACTATGATAAGTTAGAGAACGATATGACATGTGAATGACGGATACATACATATATATGTTGTGATATGATATGAAAATGAAATGAAATATGTTATGGTACGAGATATGTAATAAATTGACATATTTATGATATGATACATTGTGATGTGATATGTTATGTTTAGATTGTTTTATGGGACCGTTGAGGTAATTATTGTATGAATCGCACGTTAGCGAGAGTCCGTAATGTGTTCTATTTGTCCATGTTGCGAAAGTATATAGAAAACTCGACTCATGTGGTCGAATACTGCTGAATGGGAGGTTGGATTATGTAGAAAGACATATCCAAATTGTTGTAAGAGAGGTAAAAAAATGTTGTGTGGCTGAAAGTTTCAAAGTCCTTTGGTAGAGTCATGAGTTAGAGGAAGCAACATGAAAGTTAGAGATGAGATGATGAATAAGTATTTGAGCTGTTTTAGGGAATGTGAGGACAAAAGTGGTTTCATCTAAAATGATATTAAACATTTGATAGAAGAGAGAAAACCATAAGCTTTCAGCTATAAAAGTGGAGTAGGCTCAGTGTCACGATCATGCTTGTCCAAGGCGTGTTGCCCAGACCGCATGCCCATGACAAGTCAAACCCTTTATGTCTTTCTATGTTGTAGTATTTTACTTTTGTATTTATAGGAAGTATGACGTTTCAAAAAAAACATGTCTAGGTCTGCCAGTCATGAAATGCCTCAAAATGTACTACAGGGAGATATGACTAGTTGTCAACTTCTTCCTACCTGATAGTTATATGTAGTAAGCCGTTGTTGTTGCCTTTCGTTTACATTTCCATATAACACCAATTTCAATTTCTCAAATCTTGCTTTCAAAAATATCTTTCGAAATCTCTCTACCCTCGTTTTCTAAAACTTTGTTCTTGAATCGAGGCCAGAGGTTCGAGCATACGTCGCTTGGTCGTAGGCGACGTAAGAACGAATAGACTTAACTCACTTGTTGCTGGAAAGTGAGTGTCGCACAATCGCAAGTCCGATGCCATCAAAGTGCGATTGTGACAAGTGGTATCAGAGCTTTGTTAGCTCCGTGACATAGTAAAGACAGAAACCATGTCAATGACAAAGTCGACACTCATATCACAAGCTGACCGGCTTACTCTATTAGAGAAGGAAATGTTGTTCCTCAAGAAAGTCCCTGACACCGTCGCTTCCTGGAAGCACAAGTGACGGAATTGAATGGAAAAGTCGGAGAAATCGACACAATGGGCAACTGCTTGGATGGGTTACCAATCAAAGGACTAATGTTTCGAGTGGACTCGCTTGAAAAAATAGTTGCTCCTACGAGCAGTTCAAGACCTGCTGGTAGCCCGGATAGCTTTGTCGCGCATAAGGAGGGACGTGGCGAAGAGTTCGACGAACTACAAAATACCATGATGAAGTTGTTTAATGGACTAGCTGACGAATTCAGAACAACGATCGATGCCATCCAAAAAAAGATGGCCGAGATGAACACCCGAATTGGGGTGACCATGAAAGCCATGGAGAACGTCACGACAGGAAAAACTCATTTGGGATCCAACAATCTAAAGTTCCCAGACCCTGAACCCTTCAAAGGGAACCGGGACGCCAAAGAGTTGGAGAACTTCATCTTTGATGTCAAATAGTACTTCAAAGCCACAACGGCCTGTATCGACGACATAAAAGTTACAGTAGCCTCAATGCATCTCATAGACGATTCCAAGCTTTGGTGGCGTTCGAAGGTGTAAGATATCGAAAATGGATTATGCACCATCGACTCGTGGGAAGACCTCAAGAGAGAGTTGAGGAACCAAGTCACCAAAAGTCAGAAAAATCAATCATCACCTACATCAAAAGGACTTGATCATCACCTACAAGGACGGACTCAAGTCACCAAAAGTCAGGGACTCAAGTCAAGGACTCAAGTCAGCAAAAGTCAGAAAAATCATCACCTGCATCAAAAGGACTCAAGTCACCTACATCAAAAGAACTTGATCATCACCTACAAGGACGGTCTCAAGTCACCAAAAGTCAGGGACTCAAGTCAGCAAAAGTCGGAAAAATCATCACCAACATCTAAATGACTTATCAAAGTCAGAAAAATCAATCATCACCTACGGACTCAAGTCACCAAAAGTTTGGAACTCAAGTCAGCAAAAGTCAGAAAAGTCATCACCTACATCAAAAGAACTCAAGTTAACAAAAGTCAGAAAAATCACCTCCTACATCAAAAGAACTCTAAGTCAGCAAAAGTCAGAAAAATCATCACCTACATCAAAAGATCATCACCTATATCAAAAGAACTCAAGTCACCAAAAGTCAGAAAAATCATCACCAAAAATCATCACCTACATCAAAAGATCATCACCTATATCAAAAGGACTCAAGTCACCAAAAGTCAGAAAAATCATCACAACATCAAAAGGACTTGATCACCACCTACATTAGGACTCAAGTCACCAAAAGTCAAAAAAATCATAATCTACATCAAAAGGACTTGATCATCAAAAGTCAGAAAAATCATCACCTACATCAAAAGGACTTAAGTCAGCAAAAGTCAGAAAAATCATCACCAACATCAAAAGAACTTGATCATCACCTACATCAAAAGGACTTGATTATCAAAAGTTAGAAAAATCATCACCTACATCAAAAGGACTTGATCATCAACTACATCAAAAAGACTCAAGTCAGCAAAAGTCAGAAAAATCATCACCTACATCAAAAGGACTTAAGTCAGCAAAAGTCAGAAAAATCATCACCAACATCAAAAGGACTTGATCATCACCTACATCAAAAGGACTTGATTATCAAAAGTTAGAAAAATCATCACCTACATCAAAAGGACTTGATCATCAACTACATCAAAAAGACTCAAGTCAGCAAAAGTCAGAAAAATCATCACCTACATCAAAAGGACTTAAGTCAGCAAAAGTCAGAAAAATCATCACCAACATCAAAAGGACTTGATCATCACCTACATCAAAAGGACTTGATTATCAAAAGTTAGAAAAATCATCACCTACATCAAAAGGACTTGATCATCAACTACATCAAAAAGACTCAAGTCAGCAAAAGTCAGAAAAATCATCACCTACATCAAAAGGACTTAAGTCAGCAAAAGTCAGAAAAATCATCACCAACATCAAAAGGACTTGATCATCACCTACATCAAAAGGACTTGATTATCAAAAGTTAGAAAAATCATCACCTACATCAAAAGGACTTGATCATCAACTACATCAAAAAGACTCAAGTCAGCAAAAGTCAGAAAAATCATCACCTACATCAAAAGGATTTGATCATCACCAACATCAAAAGAACTTGATCATCACCTACATCAAAAGAACTTGATCATCACCTACATCAAAAGGACTCAAGTCAGCAAAAGTCAAAAAAATCATCACCTACATCAAAAGAACTCAAGTCAGCAAAAGTCAGAAAAACCATCACCTACATCAAAAGGACTCAAGTCAGCAAAAGTCAAAAAAATCATCAACTACATCAAAAGAACTCAAGTCAGCAAAAGTCAGAAAAACCATCACCTACATCAAAAGGACTAAGTCAGCAAAAGTATTCGGGAAGATCAATTTTATATGCAAACTCTACAAATGACAAACATTCATCCAAAGACTTAATATTCTTAGAAATAATAACCATAAGTAATGCTCGTAATGTTCTATTAACCAGCTTAGTTTGTCCATCAGTTTGAGGATTACATGTAGTTGAATAACAATTTGGTACCCAATTTATCCCACAGTACTTCCCAAAACTGACTTAAAAATTTAGCATCCCTATCACTAACAATTATTACAGAGATTCCATGTAATTTTACTACTTCCCTAAAAAATAAGTTAGCAACATGTTTTGCATCGTCCGTCTTGTTGCATGCAATAAAATGAGTAATCTTACTAAATCTGTCTACCACAACAAAAATATTATCTACCCTTTGTAGTGTGCGGTAAACCAAGAACAAAATCCATAGATATATTAGTCTAAGGTTCGTGAGGTACATTCAAAGGAGTGTACAATCCATTTGGTTGTAATCTAGATTTAGCTTATTTGCATTTAAAGCATTGACTACACAACTTATGAACATCATGCTTCATTTTCAGCCAAAAGAATGCTCACGTACCATATTATAAGTTTTATTAATCCCAAAATGTTCCATTAAACCACCACCATGTGCTTCTTTTACAAGCGAATATCTGATAGAGCATTTAGGAATACAAAGCGTACTTTTCTTAAATAAGAATTCATGAAACACATAATAATCATCTGCGACTGTTTTTGTAAGACAAGATGCATAAATAATTCCAAAGTCTTGGTCATCTCGATATAATTCTTTAATATGCTCAAATCCAAGAATTTTTACACTAAGAGAAGTAAAAAGATTGTACCTTCTAGATAATGCATCAGCTACCACATTATCCTTACCTTACTTATAATTGATGACATACGAAAATGTTTCAATAAACTCCACCCACTTTGCATGCCTATGGTTCAGTTTTCTTTGACCCTTAAGATACTTCAAGCTTTCATGATCAAGTGGATCACAAATTCTCTAGGCCACAAGTAGTGTTGCCACACTTGCAATGTGTGAACTAAAGCAAACAATTTTTTATAATAGGTAGGATAGTTCAATGTTGTCCCATCTAGTTTTTCACTAAAAATACATTACGAGTTTTCCATCTTGCATCAAAACAACACCTAGGCCCAAACCACTTGCATCACACTCAATTTCAAAAGTTTTATTAAAGTTAAGCAAGACAAGTAATGGTGCATTGGTTAATTTATTCATAAGCTCATTGAATGCAATCTCTTGCATATCTCCCCATTTAAAAACAACATTCTTTTTCATTATGTCATTCAATGGTGCAGCTATGGTGCAAAAATCTTTTATAAATCTCCTATAGAAGCTAGCTAACCCATGAAAACTACGAACTTCACTTGCTTGTGGTGTTGGCCAATCCCTGATTGTTTTACCAACTATGAAGCCAAGAAAGGTAACTTTTCCATCCAAAAACTACACTTATTAAAATTAGCCTAAAGTTTCTCTTTTCTAAGTGTAATCAAAACTAACTTAACATGCTCCACATGTTCATGCAAAGTCATTGAATAAATTAAAATATCATCAAAATACACAACATGCTTTCCTAAATATTCTCTCAAAACGTGATTCATTAAGCGCATAAATGTACTAGGAGCATTAGTTAACCCAAAAGGCATAACAAGCCATTCATACAATTCAAACTTAGTTTTGGACGTTGTTTCCATTCGTCTTCTACATGCATTCTAATTTGATGATATCCAGATTTCAAGTCAATCTTTGTAAATAAACATGAACCATGCAATTCATCAAGCATATCGTCTAGCCTATGAATAGGATGTCGATACTTTATAGTGATTTTGTTGATGGCTCTACAATCCACGCACATGCGCCACGTTCCATCTTTCTTCGGCACCAATAAGACTGGTACAGAACATGGACTCAAACTCTCTTGTATATACCCCTTCTCCATGAGCTCCTCTACTTGCCTTTGAATTTCTTTAGTCTCAGTTAAGCTGGCTCTATAAGATGGCCTATTAGGAATGACTACCCTTGGAATAAAGTCTATTTTATGTTCAATACCTCTAATGAGAGGTAGTCCTTTAGGGACTTCATCTTGGAATATGTCATCAAATTCCTGTAAAAGAGATTGAAACATACTAGGTAAAGACAAATTGTTATCGTTAGAGACCAAACATTCTTCCTTGTACACAAGTAAAAAGATAGTTTTTTTGTGAGAACATTGCCCTTCTAACCTCTCCAACTTTAGCCAAACAACTCACCTTCTTTCTTTTTTTTCAATTTCATTCTTTTTTTCACTATGTTTTTCTCTATTTTTTCACTCGACTCTTGTTTTTCTTTAACTCTTTTTCCACAAACTTCTTCTTTTTTTTCTTCCAACTTTAATTGATTAGCAAATACATTTGTAGAACTCAAAGGTACAAGAGTGATTTTTCTACCATCTTTTACAAAAGAATACCTATTCAAATAGCC